TGTCGTGAATTGTGCAATATCTCGTGGTATACCCGCCTTCGGCGGGGGTTATTGCTTAAATAGAAATCTAAACTGTTCGTGCATCACAACTCACTGGACAACATTCATACCACAATTATAATTTGTTTCAAGGTGCAAGCTCACATACTTTTTTTGAAACTGAATCAAACTGATATTACAAAACCAACCCAATTACTGAGTTAACTTTTGTTTATTTGTGTACAGTATTTTATGGGTTTTTGCAAGGACCTGGAATAAAGAGCCAAATTCGCCTTCACAAATTCAGTTATGTCCAAATGATATAGCATTCAAACCGGTTAGTTTATTTGTATAGTTTATGACGAGGAACAGGCTTATTTTAAACTTATATACAACATGACCGATGTGACACAGGAAATTCCTTGAAGATCTCATTTAATTGCACTCGACTATAACATGTTCGTATACCACTGACGGAAAGTGAAGAGTAATCTAATACTCAACGTTGGCATTTCACGATTTCGATGTATTATTTTTATGTAACTGTTGCAAGAATCAACACGGCTTCTTCGCCACTTTCAAAGCAATATAAAACTTGCGGGTACTTTAATCCCCAATTTGCATTTCTCTGATATACCGACCGATTCACTTAATGCAGAAAGCGATAGCTAGGCGCTCACCGAAAAACTTGGTTTTAAACTGAGGGGCGATTTAAAACACTGTCTTTGACTGATTTTGACATCAACGCAGAAATACACCAACTGTTCATAAACAAAGGCAAATTATCGATATTTTTGTTTAAAAAAAGTATTTAATTCTCCCAATAGAACGTTTTCTGAATGACGAAGGCAATCTGAAACCAAAGCCAGAAAGTTATCTCCCATTCTCTGCCGGTCGACGTGGATGTCTTGGAGAAGCGCTTGTCAAAGATGAATTATTTCTCATGTTTACTTGCCTGCTGCAGCAATTTGTATTTACTGTACCACCGGGAGCTGAAAAACCTAGTTTGGTTCCTTATTGTGAAGCTTTTAACTTAAGATGTCAAAAGTATGAAGTTATTGGGAGAAAGAGAAACAAGTAAACATCTCATTTCATAATTATGGTTCCAAATTCCGTCATTACAAATATACAAATTACATGTACCTGTTGAAAAAAGCACAATAATTTGTAATATGATTATTTCTTTATGAATACTAAATAGAGGAAAAGTTTCGTTGTGCATACATTTGTTTATTATTATTATTATTAAAATTTTCTGCTTATATTTTGATTTTTCATTAAACTTTGTGTTAATTTTTCTGAAATATTGACAAAAACAAGCCATGCATGGCACAGCCCCCGTTAGTTATCAAATTTAAGATATATATAGTTTTGTTTATAGTAATATAGTTAGAATATAAACATGTCAGGAATATGATTATGATGATTGTTTAACATTGAAATGATTGACATTTGTATCTGATCATCAAACGAGTACTTGTCCATATTGAGAGATATTGCTCTGGAACAGCTTTAATTAAAACAAAATCAGCCATTTTGCATACATGTATATATCTATAACATGATGTATAATGAATATATAAAATTTAAACATAATTAGTCAAAGCATGTCGGAGATATGGATCCAGAAGCCTATTCATTAAAATAAAATGGCCGCCAGTCAGCCATTTAGAATCCGATCTGAAAAATAAAATGACGTGCATCAGGAACCCGTAATGTCTAATGTATGTACTATTAAAGTTTGAACAAAATTCATCCTGAAATGCTTGATATTTGATGATTTTTTTAGCACAAAAATAGCCAACATTCGGTCATTTTTAATAGGATTGTCAAACCAATATATCGGTATATCCAAGACATGATTTATAATGAATATTTAAAATTTGAACATAATCAGCCAAAGCAAGTCAGAGATATGACACTAAAACCACATTCATTAAAACAAAATGGTGGCCAGTCGGCCATTTTGAATCTTATCTGAAAAACAAAATGATGTGCATCAAGGTCCTATAATGTCCAATGTATATACTTGTTTGAACAAAATCCATCTGTAAACAGCCGAGAAATGCTTGATTTTGATGATTTTTAAGCACAAAAATGACTGCAATTCGGCCATCTTGAATCAGATCATGAAACAAATTGATGTGCGTATGTATAATATCATGTATGATGTATGTGTGAAGTTTGATTGTGATTGGTCCAGGCATGTCTAAGATACAGGTCCGGACGCACGGATGCACGGACGCACAGAGGTCAAAACATAAACTGTGTCCGAACGGGGACTAAAAACATTCAAGCTGCGATGTACATGACGTTAACCAATGCACACGATGACCTGAAACAAATTTTTGGACCTCACATACAATATATTATTTGTATTCTCAATAAAACCTAGTTTGGACCTTTGACATGTCATGTAATATGTGTGTTGAAACAGTTACGTTATTCGCTTGTTACTCCACATCAGATGTTTCTTGCAAAAAGTCGAACATCAGTAGTTCGGTGAATTCTTTTCCCAGCATCTAGGTTGTCTCCACGGCACTGAAACGCAAGGAGGATTAGTACAGCTGGTACATGTTGTATCTTGTATCTTTCGCCAAAGCCTTACCTATATTTTACCGATGTCTGCAGAATAAATCAAGAAAACTACACAAATTGACTCCATTTATGAATAATTAACGATTGGCCGAAAGCACGGCACAGTTGGAGGCGTGGCCTATTCAGATTGTGTTGAACTTCCAATTATAAGACTAGGTAAGGCTTTGGTGAAATTTGAAAGAGCAACTAATATTCTTCAACCTGGTATTTTTTATAGATTTTATTTTTCATTCTGTTCGTCTGTTTTTTCCAGTTTAAAAAATGTGAGCTGGCTGGAGCCTTCATCCCTTGT